AAGTGTATATTAAATCAGTAAAGATTTATTAGATACAATATTTCCTTCTAATTCGCCTTCACTTTTTCAAAATAGAATAGCAGTATTAATCCAACCTGAAAGGTCAACATTTTTCATTTCCTAGACAAAGGATTACTATGCCATTATTATTCACATTAATCTTAATGTAGCTCAGACACATGAATGTACAGTACTAAATACATTATTGAATTATTTTCTTACATAATGTATTCTTCGTTCTGTGAATTAATGGCTTTAGATTAAACTTTGGAACATGAATAGGTAGAATTAATAATTAATATAGTTGTTTTGCTCATGGAGAAATAGATTCCAAACTATTCTGTTCCAAGATTAATGCTGAATATTATGAAAAAATAGAGTATTAAACTTTAAAGTTTAAATATTAAATTTAGATAGATTAAGATGAGACAAAAAAATAGCATCTTCTGCTTGGAATTACAGACTCAAAAGTCATGGTCACTGGGGTGATTTTTTGGGTTTGGGGGTTTTTTTGATGAATACACTAAAGATACATACTCTTGTTTTTGACTGCATCAATTCAAAGTTCATTGTTTCCACTCTGTTCTTTAGGTAGTGGTTCTGAGAAGCCAAAGATGCATTTTGCTCATGAAGGGCATCCAGCTTCTCCTTAAGACGTTCATTTTCTTCCACAGTTTTATCAGAAGTTGTGGATACTGAGTAAGACTAGACATAAAAAAAGCTTTTTATATATACACACACACACATATATGCATATGTAAGCAATATATACATCAATGGAAACTCTGCTGAACAAATGTATTTAAATCATATTATGTTTGAGAGGGCTCCATTGATATAATTGCCCAATGCTAGAGTGTATCAACTCCAAGCCCTAAAAGCAAAAAAATATTCATAAACATAGGAAACAAAAATAATAAAAATAAGTAATGAAGTGCAATATTTACTTCGGATTTTCTTTGAAAATCCTGGCAAGATGTTTTACCAGCATTCTTCTTACAGTTGGAAAAGCCTCGATAGTTGCAATTAGGCTGAACAAGGTCCTCCAGAGTGAAGTCTACAGCCTCATCGAAGAAGTGGCCATAACGTTCACTCGTACTAGCGCTAGGAGGGAGAGCAAAAAGTTGCTACACCGTTTTCTCTTTATTATTTTTAAATTGCTCATAAAGAGTATTCAAAAGAAAAGCACAAAAGGAGCTACTTGCAATAATCCATTAGACTGAGTAAGACAGATTTACACTACAAGAGACAGGCTGTTCTCATTCCCAAACACACTCATACCTGGAAAGCTCTTCCTCCACAGTTTGTAGGTTTTTTTCAGTTCTCCTCAGCTGATGCTGTAATGACTGTAAATCTGCAAGCAGGTCTTCATCAGCAGCACTTTTAGAGCAAGTCCACATGCTATATTCCATTGGTACCACACATATGGCTAAAATAATATTTAATATTAAAACATTTTTAAATGTACATGAGTACTATTTGCAAAGATACTTTTAAAGATACTGAAATAAGGCAAATAGAAAAAAAAAGGAAAGGCGAAAAAAAATACGAAAAAGGAAATATTGAATTTCCAAATGTAAATGTGCATTTCAACGCTACCTCTTCCCACGTTCACTAGATAAAAATTACTCTGTACAAACTGGGGGGTTTTTTTGAGAGAAAGAGTTTTGCATGTATTCATGAAGTATGAGAAGTTTCACGAGTTGCCGCTTATGAAAACTGGGAAAACGTGCTATACAAAGGTTGCCAAAAAAAAATCTCTTACACAACCCAGCTCGGTTACGCCAGAAGTCCCAGGCAGCTGGCAGGGTGCCTGAAAAGGCAACAGCGCGTAGGCAACGAACACGCAAAACTTGCCTCGCTGCCCAACGACCAGCGAAATTAAAAAAACCCGAGCAGCGAGGACTTGACAGCACAGAGGACGCGAGCTACTAAGCCGGGGAGGGGGGGAGGGGGCAGCCTTCGCCACAGCAGGTAAGACTTTGCAGATCGGGCTCGAGGTATTTTGAGGGGAAACGGTCAGATGATTCCGAGAAACCAACGCTCGCGGGCGAGGCGCTGCCGCCGCCCGCCCTTCTCCAGCAGCACGGGGGTCCCTCCGCCGCCCGGCTTTGTGGGCCGGAGCTGGCCGGCACCCGGCCCGGCTGCGATCCCACCTCTGCCTTCGCGCCGCCCCGCCCGCCTCC